CAGGTTAGGGGGCCGGCTTTAAGGAGCAAGCCTTGGAGAGTTTCGACCGTCAGGGCTTTCAGGACGGACGCTGTCAAGGTTGGTAGTCACTAGTCTCACTAGTGCGTGAAGTGGTGTTCGCTACGGCGAATTGGGAGTGTGGCCTTATAGTGCGAAACCTGCCAATGCTGCGGCAAGCACAGGCGTGCGTAGCAAGGGTTGAGGAGTGTAGGGCTCGGAGTGGGGCCAGACAAGGCTGAGGCTGGGTGGACAGCTTCAGGCTGCAATCCAACACTGAATCCGTCGGCACGAAGCTCGAAAGGGCAAAAGTCAGGTTGGCATGTTTAAGGGCCTTGATCCGAAAATCTCCTGCGACTCAATACGATACCCAAAAAAGGCTGGCGTCGGAGAGACGTGTGTAGTGGCCTGTGGCCGGCATGACATTGTCGCACTAACACCTGACACGGCTCTGTGGTTTCAGATGTCAGTGGCTGTTTCGCCGCATTGTCCGGTAAAGAGCTCATGAGTCAAACGCGACGCTGCTAACAAGGGATTGAAATCATGGTCGGTCTAATCGTCGCATCCGAATCGAATTGCGTCGGCCTGGCTGCAGACCAGCGGGATGTGGAAAAGGAACAACTATAACAGAACGTTGTTTCCCATGGCCCGATCAAGCAGCGTACTTAATGTCACCGCGCCCTGCCTTGATTTCTCTGAGACCCGGCAGCCAGGCCACGCCGCCGACAGGCCGTGACACTGTTGCATCCTTGCAGCCGCCCACTCCTGTGCATATTATCCCGGTCTGGGTGGACAACGGGACAACAATCCCGGCGGCTCTACGTTTTCATGGGCAATTATTTCTGAGATATTTCTGGTTGTCCCGGATTTGCAACCCCGGCTGCCTTATCTGCACGTCTACATCTCAGATCTATATATAGCAGTTCGTCCCTGGTCTGATCCATGTGATGCAGCCTGGTGGCCAGGCCGTCTCTCGCTCCCATCCGCCGCTTTGGGCCTGACATAGAACAATGAAGCGGTATTATGGCTTGGTTGCTGAAGTGTAGCCCATCTGGGGACCTGAACCAAAGATGCTGATCTGGAGTCAGCCCCGTGGATGCAATTGGATTTAAATGCGGCGGAAAGACTGACTCAGACTGAGCATGACTTGATGAGGCGAAGCGACTGATGCCTGCAACCACAGGCTTGTTAGCTTCAGGAGGGGTGCAGTTTCATTCGCATGAAATCACGTGTTCTTTGTGTGAGTATGGCATGCCGGCATGCCGGGCTGCTCCGTCTTTCGGGTTCAGTTTAAGCTTCCGGTATCGTATTGAGGTGCAGGCAATCAAGTGGACCTTCAAGCCGGCCGAACCAAGATTCCAGGATTTCGTCGACATTTTCATTCATGAGAATTTGAAAGTTCACCAGAGAACGGACGCAGTGAGATTCAGAGCTATCAAAATTGAGGCTTTCGGGCCGCGGTCAGTCCCGGACCCATCCGACCCCAGGCCCGACACCTCAGCCATTCGCAGACGTAGGCAGTCAGTTGCAGCAACTGCAAAACGCAACCTTTTGAGAACATCGGCTTTTCATCATCCTCCGATTATTATCCTCCCCATCATCCTCGCTGACATTTATTGACCTACCCGTCAGTTTGGTTTCCGCAACGTTTTTTCTCAAATTCGCTTTTGTGTCATCCTCCTGCTCTTCCCATGGCAGGGGAGGTAAACTCTAGGTAGATTAAAGGTAAATGTTTATGTGATTTAGCTCCCCTCAACGCCAGAGAGGGTATACTTCAATCAAATTTAGGTAGTTTTGGCTTTAAATTATCGGCCTGGCCCTGGCCCGAAGATCATCAGGAAAGGAGGAGGGAAAACGAACAGGGTTCGGAGGAACCAAAAGCAAGGAGGCTGAGCAGGAGGAAAAAAGGCTGATTCGAAGGAAAACCTAAACCGGGCGGATGATCGGAGGGAAACAGAACCTGGGGCGATGACCCAAAAAAAGCCAACAGGTAAAGTTTAGGCAAAAGTGGCCCCAAACCCGGCCGCAAGGTTTTGTGGTTGGAGCTTTAGGATTGAATGGAAACTCTCGGAAGACAAGAACGGACGCTTGACATCCTCTACACCCTGAAGGTACAGCTACAGCTACGACAGCTGTATCACAACACCTACCTGTCATCGGCAACTCGAACTCTACTTCTCAATGGCCCGCTATAGATGTCGAAGGAAACACTGTCGGCAGCTGCGAAACAACTCCTCAAACTTGCTGCATACAGAATGGTCGGTTCGATGCACATGGTCAAGAGCCAGGCGCAGTGAGGACGTTCTCAACGCAGATGGTCAAGAGCAAAGGCTGTGCTGTGAGGACGTTCTCATTGTGCTCGTCTTTTGTGGCAATCGGGCCTCCGTAAACGGGCTGCAGGCTTGCTTTTGCGTACCTAAGCATTCATTCAGAATAGGAGGCCAACGTCGAGCTTCGTATGTTGTACCGATTTAACAAGGAGTGCTGCCGCTCGCAGTCGAAGATATGGCATTATGGGGTTCGTCGGAGCCCGCTTGATTCGGACCCAGGCTCCTTGTGTGCCCAAGTCGAACGTTGGGGGGGCAGGAAGCGTATGGCACCTTGGAATTCGGGATGTCACTGCAGGCTGCTCTCCTGTTGAAGCTTCATGCGTGAAAGATCCAATGGTATCTGCATGCCCGTCAAGAGGCTATGGACGCGGTACTCCAACTTTCCGCTTTCTGCAATAGTGGCGAAGTGTTCGCTCCCGTTGGGGAGTCAGCTGCCTGGCGCTGTCCGACCTCGAACCCTTTTCAACTTCGAACGCGCAGGTTCACCTGTCCACCCTGCCTGACACGGCCTGGCGCAGAGGGTTCGGCACACTTGGTGTTGTGACAGCCTAGTTTGTCTTCTTCTCGACCACCTCGCGAGGGCACAGGCATGCCAGCACTTCGATTGCTGCTGATCCGTGGGTTCACAACACAAACGTGCTGCAAGACACTATAGCTGCACTCTCAGCACCTCGTCCTGCTCGTCGCAACGCACCAGAAACGACGTGGATGTCAATGTTGTGTGCTCGTCGGTTCGGTAGCATGCGTAGAACTTGGCGAATTTTGTCGAAAGCTTTGCCACAAGTCGACCTGCTCCCTCATCTGAAATTTTCAACAGCTCCATGTTCACACAAGCAATGCCCTGCTTGCCATTGACAACTCTGTCAACTGATCCCAGTAGCCCTCGTCGTGTTGAAGCATGCCGTCGTGCTTGGTTCTGATGTCAATGTCCTTCGGACCTCGAGTCGAGACAACCGCCACATCTCGAGCAGGCCAGCTTGCTAACCTACCAGGGTATACAGTCTGTTCGTGGTTGCCTGTATCGCAAGTATATGTTCATTGTACGCTTTTGGGTCTGTCCCAGAGTAGTGAGCACCAGTGTCAATACCATCTTTGCAGTCACTATGTGGAGCAATGCAAGCTGCGCCTAGCATTTCATGTAAAAGGGCACGTTTGACATGGTGTACAGGCCGGTACAAGACAAGGAGATCGGGTCTGCGGAAGGCAGCAAGGTTATGACGTCGTGATTCAAACATCCTGGGCATGCTTCAGTGTCGGCCGGGCGCGATCTTTGTGGACTGTGATTGCTGTTGGCTTACAGTCAAAGCGCGAAAGTTGGAAGATGGTTTGCCGAGATTTGCGCATGGCGCAAGACATCTTCCGACTCTAAGTTTGGCCATCTATGTACCTCCCAGCTTTGGTTTCAATTTCAGTACACTAGGATTCCTTGCCCCAAATGCTGGCGGGATTCAGAAACAATTGCCGGCGGAATCGCTCTCCCCCAAGTACTGGCAGTTCCAGGATGCATTCATAACCACGCCCACAAGGCTTTGCCGAAGTACTGACGGGATTCAGAATCAATCAGCGGCACGGGGGAACAGCTTTCCAAGCACTGGCAGATTCAGGACGCATTTAGAACCACCCCCACAATGCTTTGTCCCAAGTACGGGCGGGATTCAGAATCGATCAACCACACGGGGTTACCCCAAGTACTGGCGGTTCCTGGACCCACCGTAAAAGTGGTTACGCAAAGTACTGGCAGAACTACGAACGATCCAGACGAATCACGGATCCGGACAAGCGGATGCGGGGTGGTCGTTTCCGGGATGCGGGGTTGCGGGGCGCTGAAGAGAAATACGGTGTTGACCAAAGCAACGGGACCTCCTTTTGGTTGGATGTCGTGCGGGGTGCCGGACTGCCCAGGTCGGAAAGTTGGAAGACTGGGTTTCGTGACCAAGCATGCCGGAACGCACGTTCCAACTTTCCGGCGTTGACCGAATCTCCAAATAAGCATTTTCGCGACATAGCCAAAGTTTGGATAGCACAGTTTGTCAGAATTTTTGGATACGGTGCCGCATATACTGTTACACATGTATATGCACCCGCTTTGTGTAGATATCTGTTTTTTACTGATAGCTATATTTTTACATGTTTTTATAGCGGTGGAAAACAAGGCTTAAGAAGTATTCAAGCAAATAATTGTTGCGCCTCCTTGTTTGGTCTTTGGGAATTTGCGGTGGTTTTAAGGGCATCTCGGAGGTCCTTGAGAAGTTGCTGAGGATTTCCCCGTAGAGTTGCAGCATATCTTCACCGGCTGTAGATGTGTCCGAAATCCGTTTGCGTATGGCGTGCTAGTGGCTGACCGCGAAGTTTGTTTATCGCACCTGGACTTACACGCCCTAAGCCAATAAACACAGGCACACACCCTTGTCGGCACGCTTCTTACGTGGCAAGTCTAAGTTGGTCTGTTCTCGTGGTTGACCAGGCCGCGGACTTGGCCTAAGCTTCACAATTCTGGTTGGCGGTGATGCCGTAGAGCCTTGATTTTCACGGCCTACATGTAGCTGTTGGGTCTTCGTATGTTTGCCCGCAACAAACTCTTTGAACATGCTCCAGACAAACAGCTTGAGTAAGGGGCTGTGCCGTACATGGCACAACAATGATGGACTTCGCATGCCACCAACGCCAGAAGCAATGGCCAGCAACATTTTTGTGTGGGTGTGTGCACGTGTGGTAGTTCTCGCAATTGCAATCAGCAAGGAACGAATTCAACGACGAGCCGTCGCTGCCTGCGGGCTGGTTGCGCATCAAGTCGCGCACAACAGGCGCTGTTGATGCAATAAGTTCATGGTTTCATTAAGTTTCGGGGTGGGTGCTTCGAGTTGTTGTTGGCTCGAATGTGTTGCATTTTGATGCACTACCGTTACGGTTGTTGTAAGTATGGCGATAGCGCGGCTTGGCTTCTAGTCTTCTGAATCAAGTGTCAGGTCACGGCGACGATCGAAACACATGTTGCAATTGTGGTATGTCTGCACGGCGACCCTGATAACATGTGGAGTTTTCCTTCCAGTGCTGATGTTCTATTCTTCAGCGAGGTTCAGTCATGTGTGGGAAATAGAAATCCGAGAACAAAACATCTGGGAAGGGTATCCTTTCGTTTCGGATTCAGTGTTGCAGAAAGCACTGGATAATCAAGTAGATGTGTCATGGCTGTCTGTATTATACGTTAGTTCTACTGCCACGCAAGGGTAAAATCAATGCCGATAGCAACAACTGCTGGTGGTAGGAATGCATATAGCTGCGGTCGAGTACTTGCCAAGCCATTTTATACTTCCAATTTCGGTCGTGCTTTGTGCTAAACATGTCGCCGGTACAACGACATAAGGAACTTAAACCCCTAAACCTCTAAATCTTCACCCTAAGCCCTAAACCTTCCTAAACCGCAAACATCACCAAACCGCCTAACCCCAAACCCATAAACCCCTAAACCCCTAAGCTCGACACCCCGAAACTTACTTCAAAAGCTTTACGACTATAGTATAATGTACCCCCAAAACCCTATTCTAAAAACCTTTATTTTACAACACCCAAACCTTAGGCCCTGAACCTAAACCTTAAACCCAAAGGAGAGGTCTACTTCTTCAACAAGATCACGCAGCAATCCCAGTTTGAAATGCCGGAGGCCAGGCCTCTTGCGAGGACGAGGATATAGCGGTTGTGGTTTTAGGGTGTAGGATAAGGCTTCCACGATTCTCCAAGCGCTGTAAAGAAAGAGCTGTATCAGGAGTCTATAAGTGCTTTGAAACCGCTTGTATAAGGGTCACTGCAATGGCATCAACATGGATGACCCAGCTGAAGGGTCGATAATTTTTGGATTTGCTGATCCTGTTTGGGTTTAGGACTGGGCGAAACAAGCCAATTTATTTGAACCTGGTACGCAAAGCAAAAGCACTACGCTGGTTCACCTAGCCGTAGGCTCTAAAATTTCGCGTCCAGGGTATAGGGCTTAGGGTTAGCATCTGGTTGGGAACTTTGTAGAGTTCAGGAACTTTGTAGAGTTCAGATGGCGACGCGACGTGATGTCAGGGTGGGACTTACAGTCGGCTCAGCGAAGCCTGCCACTCCTTTAAAACTTGTCATTAATGTATCGGAGCTGTCGGGGTAGAATCGAACCCTTGGATTTCGAGTCTGTTATTGCTAGTTAAGGCTCAACTATGTCAAGGGTTCAGGATGGTTCAGGCAAGCATTTATGCTAAAATGCCCTCTTTAACCTTCACATCCTACCTGCAGTCTCCGTTGTGGTTCTTTGTGAGTAGTTAATAGATCTAATGATCTGATGGTCCGGATCGTACAATAGGAAAGCTGCGTAGCAAAACAGGAGTTTTTAATGGAGACGAAAGATACCGTTGCTGTATTTCTGCACTGCATGACTAATACGCATATAAAAACCTTACACTTACAATCAACTGTCAGTATGGTTCAAAAACCCTAAACACTGAACCTCAACTTTGAAAACAAAACTAAACCCTGAAGCCTATAATATACCCCTAAACCTTTATGTCCCTAAACCTTACGTAAGCCCTAAAGGCCCTAAATCCTAGCTTATGCAGTTAGACCATAACGGGCTGTGAGGTGCCCGTCCCGAAGAAAGTCGAGAAAGAGGCTGGTCTGCAACCATAGCGGTAAGGGTTTTGGATTGAGGGTATGTATACGGTGTGCACGCGGTGGGAGCGCTTGCTTAAGAATGGGGGGCTGATGTCTGTGAATAACATACAGGTCGGAACCCCACAGCCTTCTTCAACTACTTCTAGTCACGTCGTAGTGGCCACTGATGTTTTGCGGTACAGGGTTTCAGGGCTGCGGCGTCAGGCGTTCACGGATTTAGGTGTCCAAAGCCCTTAGGAACCAATTATGTGATGTGGCTTTAAATGCTCGTAGCAGCTGCCAGTTTTGCAGGGCATGTTGCCGAAGTGTTGTTGTTGTTGCAGCAGTGGAACGGACCCTATGACCGCAAGTGCAAACCACAAGTACAAAAGACTGCCACTCGTTTCCCTGTTATGTGTGATTAACCCCGAGGTTCAATAGCGTCCTCCTGTGGTCCATGGGCACAAAAATCCAAAAACATGTGTCGTGTGCCCTATTCGCTCTAAACCCTAGACCTGAAGGCTTAAATCGGAAACTATAAACCCCAAACTCCAGGAATAAACAGCTGCTTCCTGCGGTCCCTGTTTTCTTCACAGGCACCGCCTTCGAAGCCTGCACCGAACAGAGGCCCGGCTCCCGTGGAGAGCAAGAGTCTGTGGCGGCTTTATGAATATAATTCAAATCAGAATAGGAACCCTTACATGATCCGAGGGATGGGCTCGGAGTCCCTGGGTATTTAGAGACTGAATCGTAATATTGTATGTTCGTTCCCTTGTTGTGTTAGTACCGGATCCTGACCATAGAATATGCTATCCATAACTTACTACACTGTATTACATTAGAGGGTCCAGGTAGACATCGAGCTTTGAGAGGTCACCTGCAGCGTAGGGAAATCTGAGACTGGACCCCCTGTCATGAACTGTTTTTGGGTATTCTTAACTTGCATACCTGCTATCATCTACTATCCTAAACCGGAGTACCTAGTTGTTGGGTCCTTTGGACCCTATGGCTGCAGCATACCCCTAATCGGCTTCTTCCGTGCATCCAAGGAAGATGGAGTCGCTTCCTGCTGGGTGGACTCAGCACATCTCCAAGCGGAATGGGCAGCCGGGCCCGGAAAGGATAACAAGGGGTGTAGGGGTTAAGGTTGTTTAGCGTTAGGGTGGATAAACCCCGCTGTAGATCTTATTGGCTTTCGGTTGCGAGTTTTGTGGGTTGTAGGATGCAAGGTTTAGGATCTCTTCATTGCTCTACTGATTTTGTAAGTCGGCTGTGGGGTTAGGGAACCCCACACCCTACTTGGAGGATCATGGGACTTAGTTACCCTGGGGCCCTGTTATAATGATTTGCAGCCCCAGTTCGGGCACTTATGACCTTACTAGATGTCGGTCGGCAAGGATTGTTTGATGAAATCTTCTTGGTTGAAACCCTAGACCCTAAGCCCCAAAATAGGGGACCCTAATATAGTACCCTGAAATAGGTGGTTGCCAAAATTAGGTTGCGTTTTGGGGTATAAGAGGTACCCAAAAAGGGACCATAATTTTGACAACCACCCAAATAGTAGGATCTAAGGCACCCTCGGAAACTCCCACATCAACGCGAAACTGCAGTCACTGGCCAGTGCCAGGGGATCCTACAAAGGATATCTCGCCTTTCAGCGTGTACGCTTCATTACGGTTTAGGGTTTAGGGTTGAGACCCTTCATTAAACGCTTTGTTTCTTATGTCGCAAACAAAGGTCAACGAGACATCATGGAAAAAGAGCCCATACTTAGTCACAAGATTCGCCTCAACGTCCGTCTATGATGGTGCTCTAACGTACCCCATAACCCTATTCTGGTTATTAAGGCTGCTATTTTCTACCTCCCCCTCCCCCTCTCCCTTCTCTCCCTCTTCCTCTCCCTCTCTCTGTCCCTCTCCCTCGCCCTCTCTCCCCCTCCCCTTGTGACAATATTGACCTAAAGTCCCCGTGTGATAATGCTGTCACCAACACCTTGTTCTAGTTATTATATAACGCTCTGAGGTCTCCTAACCCAGAGAGTCCATATAATGTGTGGGGTCCTTATAATGAGGATCCTACTGTTGAGGATACTATATTAGGGTCCCCCCATTTTCGGAAGCTCTCATATATAATACCATTATGGAATTAGGTCTCCGAAACCAGAATAGGAATGGTCTTTTGGGACCTTAATTCCATAGTGGTAGTTATATATATATATATATATATATATATATATATATATATATATATATATATATATATATATATTATATATATATATATATATATATATATATATATAATGTATATGTGGACCCTCTTGGTTGATGATTGGGCCACGGCACGGTTGATCCTTCTGCAACCTTTGGTGCAATCTCGCTTGTTCGGGAGAGGCAAGTCGAATTTGACGAGTTGCCGCAATTTAGGGGCCTTACGAATAAGGTAGAGAAGTTTAGGGTTTAGGGGTTTAGGGTTTAGCCGTGTTATTTTGAGAGGCGGGGGGGGGGGGGGGGGTATTGTGATACTGCAACTAATTGTCGTAGTGTTAGTTTGAGAAGGGGAGGGTATGTGGTACCGTAGTTGCCTAAACCCTAAACCCTAAACAGCTGGGAAACCTTAGGTGGCGGCCGTTCTTACACTTGAGTGCAGATGGCCTTTTGGTGGCCTCGCTGCTCTCAATCCTCCAAAACCCCTTACTTGAGGAATATGCCTTGAAGGGATCTTTCAAAGGATCTAGAAGGGATCTGTAAAGAAAATACCTCAAATCGTATTAGGGATCCGATTTTAATTTCAGGCATATTCCTTAATTAAGGGGTTTTGGAGGCTCTGGTTTCCCCGAAGCCTAACAAAGCATCGGAAGTCTTTCTTCAAAGTTTGAACCGTGGTGTTGTCAATACCATAGCAAGATTGATGGCACATGACATTCTCTGCTGATCGTGATAACTGAAACTAGTTGTTAGTTGACCGCCTGAGGAAAGTCTACTACTTTCACAAGGCTACGAACATCTCGCAGTACTACCGTCCGAAGGCCTGAGTGGCGCTGAGCTTCTAGCCGTAATTCGATGGGCTTCTGGGCATCAACAATGTGGCTGGCCTGACATTCACTACTACCACTAGGGTGCTAGTTCCAAGGGTTCCGAATGTTGCGACAGCTGCATCTGTAAGTGTGCAGGTGATTGCAAACAACAATGTGTACGTATATGACCGCATATGGTTTCTTTCACGTATGTGTGCACCATTGTGCACCTACCTGCCTACTATCTACCTCTAGCTGGCAAGCCACCTAGCTACCGAGGCTACCTAAGCTGCCGACACCTGCCGACGCTGTCTTGCTTCCTGTCTGTCTGTCTGGCTACCTATCTATCTATCTATCTCTCTGTTTGTGTACGTCTCTGTCTGTCTATCTGCCTATCTCTCTACCTGTTTGTCTGTATGTCTGTCCTGATCTATCCATCTCTCGTCTTTAAGTCTACTCATCTACCTATCCATCCATCTATCCATCCATCCATCCGTTAATGTAGATGTTTGAACTGCTGTATGTCTATGTGTCTGCTGCATGTCTTTCTGTTTGTCAGTCTACCTATCTACTAATCGTTACCTCTTTCTGTCTATCTGTCGGTCTATCTCTCTGTCTATATACCTATCTATTTAGTTATCGACCAACATATCTTGCTTTCTTCCTGTCTGTCTATCTATCTAGCTATCCATCTATCTAGCTATCGGCCTATCTATCTATCTATCTATCTGTCGATGTCTTATTTACTTGCCTATCAATCTATATGCTTGTCTACCTAGTTAGGCATCTAGGCTATACATGTATGTATGCGCGCCTTCGGAGTGTATGCTTGTGCATATATAGGGCAGTTTTACAAGGCTTGATGTCGAGGAGCTGCACTCTCGCCGTGCGGCGGGCACGGATCCTAGGTGCCTGGACGGAGCTACTTAGCTACTTCTATGGTAGGATGACACACGGTTCAGGGTTTAGGGTGATACGGTTGATGATATAAATCCTGCATGGCCCATAACAAGGAATATACCATAATTCCCATATATAGTTTAGGGTCCTTAAGGTATTGCAGGGTTTATATCATCAACAGTACAACCCCAAAAGTCTAAAGATTACCTACTCAGCTTAACCAAGACTTGAAGAGCCCACGCGGCCGGAATCCGGTATTCCTATCATGCCTTGGACTGCGTTAGTATTGTTGATGATATAAACCCTGCACTACCTTAAGGACCCTAAACTATGGGAATTCTCGTAGATTCCTTATTATGGGTCATGCAGGATTTATATCATCATCCGTAGTAGCCAGAAAGTTGGAACATCATTATCCTCATGCCATTAAGGTAAAGTGTATATATATATATATATGGGATCCTAGCCCTAATCCTTCTAAAGCCATGTTCCAACTTGCTGGCTTCTACTGTAAGCTTTTCGAGCCTTGGTGCGCCACAGCCCTAAAGTCTCAAAGAGCGTGTAGACCTGAATACCCAAGTTCTCTGAAGGTTTCGGGCTTTAGGGTTTAGGGTTTAGGGTTTAGGGTTAGGGTTTAGGGTTTAGGGTTTAGCTAGGACGTAAGTATACGACACCGGAGATCGCTATAATCCATCTATGGTGGTACTACGCTGCAAGACTTCTACCCTGATTTCGGGACCTTCATCGGAACCTTGAAGGGACCTCCCTAAGCCCTAAACCTTAAGCCCGAAACCCTAAGCCCTAAACCCTGACCTGCGCCTTCATCTTAGATCCCCAATACCTAACCTTTACACTTTTCGGGTTCTTACAGTTTAGTAGGTGTCGGAAAGTTTAACCTTTCATTTCTGTGGCTTATTGGGGTAGTAAGTCATAGGAACCTTGAAGTGACCTGCGAGACAGAAGCTGACTGTCCTCGGCACCTGGTTCTCCAAAGACTGGGGCAGCACGCTGCGCTAGGGGCAGAGAAAAAGCTGAAGGTAGGGCGCTCATCTAAGGTTTAGGGTTCAGGGGTATGTTGGGGGGGGCCTCTTAATGTGGGATTTAGGGTTTAGCTAAGGCTTTTGAGTTGTGTTTCGTTTCTAATAGGCCGAGTCTGAGTTAAGAGCACTTCAACATGTAACATCTTGAGCTGGCCTCTCGAATCTGCACCGGGCTGCTGCTTAAGACTGCCAAGCCCGAAAGCCCTATGTAAACTGAAAAAACCACCCAAAAGCCCCTAAACTTAACCTAAATCCTACAAGCCTCCCCGGTGAGACCCTCTTGCAGTCTGATCAAGAAACCCAACAAAAAACAACCTTACTTAAGAAATTCACCTTAATTCATATATTGGGGACGCTACCACAGTTTGAGTTCGTTTTGGCTCTCTGGGACACCGCCGGGGGTAGGTTGCATTCGAGAAAGGACCTCTACGTCATTGCGACACTCCTGTAGGCCGAACCCAGAGAATCGTATACATCCCTGTAAAGCTCATGCAACTCCATGAACTGTAGCACCTTACAAAGCATCATGGGACGACGATACGAACCCTTGTGGAAGCCTATCAAACACTGTGGAGTGACGTATTTCGCTATAGAGCCCGGCGGAAGTTTCTAAATCCCTATACAAACGCATGAAACCCTACCAAGGTTGTGGAACTTGGTATGTCTCGGCATACTTTGGCCCCTAAGGGGATCTCCTTCAGAATTTTGCGTATGTGTTCGAAGAAATCCTAAGCCCTTAGCCGTGGCTAAGAAATGTCGGAAACCCTACACCAAAGCCTATTTGGAGGGTCGGGGGACTTAGTAACCGGTGATTTTAGGGATTTATAAGTACCATAAGCCCAATTAGGGTCCCTTTTAGGGTACTTATAAGTCTACTTACTGCCTAAAGTTCCTTAAGGGGTCCCGGTATTGCTTATGTGGCCTCCCGTCTTAACCGAATGACTTTGGACAAAGGATCGTCACTTCAGACTCCTCGCCAGGGCTTTATCTACACCGGGTACGCTTTGCAGGTTCAGGGTTTAGGGAGTCTAGAGTAGAGTGTGGGCTGCAGAGCTCAGGCTGTATAGAGTTTGGCAATTAGGTCATGGTTCGATAGACATAAGACTGCCGACCACGGTATGCCTTGCTGAGGTACTTCAAGACGTGCATTCTCACCTCCGGCATGGTGGAGTCGCAGGCCTTAGATGGTTTTTCTTGAGGAAGGCGTCAAACTTCTCGGAGTTCCGTAATCATGGACGAGTGATAGAACCCGAAAGCGAGAATGATTCGGGCTGACCCCCCAGCCGGGTAGTATCTTGAAGGCTGTTGTTAGGGAGCAGATGCAAAGGGTTTCGCTACAGGTATACTGCAAGCTTTCCCAACCCTAAGCCCTGAAGCCCTAAACCCCTAAACCCTCAACCCTAAAACCCTGAATCCCTAAAGCCCTAGACCCTACACCCCTAACCCAGAGACTCCAATATCCCTTAGTTAAGGAACATACTTTAAATCATATTAAGGATCCTACTATGATTTAAGGTAAATTCCTTAATTGCGGGATACTGGAGGCTCTGGGAAGCGAATAACCAACACCATTGTGGGGGTTCCTTATCATAACTAAAGTATACTGGGCCCCAAAACCCCTTTCTTAAGCTAAGACAGCCTAAAACCCTGAACCCCTAAAGCCCTAGACCCTAAAACCCTAAAACCCTAAACCCTAAACCCTAAAGCTCCAAAATCCCTAAAGCCCTAGCCTATACCTAATAAGGCCCTAAAGTCCTATAGTAGGGAATACTTGGACCCTTTGGGCTAAGCTACTTGGAGGGTCGGGGTAAGTAGACTTATAAGTACCCTAAAAGGGACCCTAATTGGGCTTATGGTACTTATAAGTCCCTAAAACAACCAGCTACTAAGTCCCCTCGACCCTCCAAGTAAGACGGACGCAGTCACAGGTTGGACGCCTGGTCGTGCCTCCCAGCTCCACCCTGACAGCCGAGACGCGGAGTGCTGAGTGGAAGAAGGGGATGGGTTTAATAAAATAGTTACCTATACTACTATTTTGGGGGTTCCTTATGATATTTATAGTATAATGGGATCCAAAACCCTGTTCTAGTTATAGGTTTAATAAGGTTTAGGGCTTTAGGGTTTAGGGTGGTTTATGTAGAAGAACTGGCTTACTATTCTGAACTCCGTGCTGATTGAATTTAAGTCGTGCACTCCAACTTTCCGACGAGCAGACCACTTGAGGTTCCGGTCGCTGCTGCATTTCCTGTATGCCGGGGACGATATGCTCAGTCCGAACCTCAGAACTTTTGCTGAAAGAGGGCTGTCTGCTGCGCAGCGATGCCAGGTCACCTCAGTAGCTGTAGCTGTAGCAGTAGCTGCAGCAGTAACTGGTACTTGGAGGGTCGTGGGACTTAGTAAGTAGGTAGTGAGTAGACTTATAAGTACCCTAAAAAGGGATCCTAATTGGGGTTATGGTACTTGTAAGTCCCTACAATAACCAGTTACTAAGTCCCCCGACCCTCCAAGTACCAGGAGCAGGAGTAGCAGGAGTCGGAGTCCGAGTCGGAGCGGGGGTGGGAGTAGGAGTGGGAGTAGTCGTCGGTGTAGCAGTTAAGGATGTGGTACATAATTAATGTATAGGGTTTAGGGTTTCGGGTTTAGGGTATACAGTATACAGTAGTATCGAAATCCAACGCAGCCACTACTGCAAGGCACTCTGGCTCCTCACACGGCCATGTACCTGGCCACAGCCCCAATGTCCGTATCGGAGTGGGGTGTCTGGCTGCGGTTCTAGATCGGTTTAGGGTAGTTATACAGGACTTTGGAGAAAACATGGCCAATAAGGCTGTAGATCATGGTTGTTTTTGTTGGGTGCTTAGGGGTGGAGGAGAGTTTGCGACTGCTGTTTGGCTGCTACCTTTCTTGACGTTTACTTAGGGGTACTTAGAAATATTTTTAAATTTTTGGTTATTATAATCCCTAAGAAACAGCTAAAATTATAATTTTTGCTAGGGTTCTAAGTTCAGTATAGTTTAGAGTCGCACTTTGTGCTTGGATGTTGTTAGGCTTGGCCGGAGACTGAGATCCTGGCTGTGG